GCCCCCAGCTCAGGGGCTGCATAACCCAATGGCAGCTTGCTGAGGGGGGCAAAAAAGCACTGAGGGAGCTGATCTTTGTTTTTTTTTCTCTTGGAGCTTGCCTGCATCTCCCATGGCTGGGGGGGGGGTGAGCTGCCCGTGGGCCCCTAAACTGAAGGGGACCCCAGTCCTTCCCTGTGCCACGGTGGTGCCCCCTGGGACCGCCTAGGCGGATGCTAGTGGGCAGGTGCCACCACCACGAAGGAAAGGAACAGGTCCACCTCCACCCCCTGCAGCGCGGGGCCCGCTGACAGGTTGCCTCCCAGCTGCAGGAGACGTAGGCAGGCTTTGGGAGGAAAAAAAAAAAAGATCAGGCCCTTCGCTGCCTTTTTCTTTTTCTTTCTCTCAGTGGAGCCTGCCCTGAGCTGCAGGGGACCCGGTGCTTTCCTCCATGGGGCAGCATCCCCAGGGCCGCAGGTCACAGGCAGCACCCGGCCTGACCCAACGGTGCACGGGGCACTGGAAGCCCAGGTGTGCTTGTGGAAGCTCAGGCTGGGTGGGCTTCCAGCACCATCCCCGCCACCTTCCTGCCACCTAGCGCCATCTGGGAACAGGCTGACTTGCCCCTGGGGCAGTGCAGGAAGGCGGAAGGGGGGCGGCTGAGTGTCCTGGCAGCCAGGGAAGGTGGCAGGAATGGTGCACAAGGCGCTGGAAGCCCGCCAAGCCCGAGCTTCCCCCAGCACGTCCAGGCTCCCAGTGCCCTGTGCACGGTTGCAATTTGTTACGTAGCAAACTAAAAAACTAAAAGATGCGTTTTACTTTGCTATGTAACAGAGTCATTTAAAGTGAAATACACTGCTGCACGTGTACAATGCGATGCAGTTAAAACGGAATACATCGCCACAGGTGTAAACAGCGATGCCATTAAAGCGGTCCAGAAAGGCAGTTAAGCTGCTTGAAAGGCCTAATTTGTCATGTGTACCAACGCCCTGGGTGGAGCGGTTTTCTCACATTCCCCCCCCATCCCCCCTCTCCTCCCCCCCGCCCAGAGCTGCCCCTTCTGCTGCCAAGGGGTGAGCTGCTGGTGGGCTGAATGGCCCCTGAGCTGCGGGGGGTCCCAGACTTGTGGGTTGGATTAAGTTGATTTTCTACGTTTCTGCCAACTTGGCTGTGAAATCGATCTTAGGCAGCTTGCAGTAATTTTGAGGAAATTCTCAGAGCACTAAAAAGGACAATTTTCCAGCCTGTCCTCATGTAAAATGTACAATTTTTCTTTCTCCCTTTTTCAGCTTGTACAGTCTTTAAGACAGGCTGATTTCAGGCAGACTTGATGTTTCCTTTCCTTGTACTGGTCTTGTCCCACTGCTACCACATACCTGCGTGCTGGCTAGGAACACTTGTGTGGGTAGTCAGTCTGAGGTTGGTCTGGCCACTGATGAAGAGGAGATGGGAGGAAGCAAATAGCCCTGAGTGGTGTTGGGAGTGTAGTAGAAGTGTATTGAGAGAGCAAGGGTTGGATCTCACCAGTTTGACTCAGTCAAGAGCTGGAGACAGCACTTTTGCTGAGCCAACCCAGTGGAAGAGACAGTCGGCTCAGCTGCATGGGTTCTGCATTAGCAAACAGGCAAGGGGCAAATATAGGACCTGCAGCACTCTTAAACTGCACGGCATCCTGAAAAAGTCGTTAGTTTCATAGTTGGTAGGGTCGGAAGGGACCTGAGCAGATCATCAAGTCTGACCCCCTGCCATGGGCAGGACAGGATGCTGGGGTCAAATGACCCTGGCTAGGTGTCTATCTAGCCTCCTTTTGAAGACCCCCAGGGTAGGAGCTAGCACCACTTCCCTTGGAAGTTGGTTCTAGATCCTAGCCACCCTCACTGTGAAGTAGTGCCTCCTGATGTCTAGCCTGAACCTACTCTACATCAACTTATGGTCGCTGTTCCTTGTTACCCCGGTAATGCTCGGGGGAACACGGACTCTCCCATTGCGTGATGGTCCATCTTGGCCAGTTTATAGATGGCCACCAGATCCCCTCTCAGCCTTTTTTTGTGGAGGATGAACAGGTTCAGGTCCCATAGCCTCCCCTCATAGGGCCTGCCCTGCTGCCCCCCTCATCATGTGAGTCACCCTCCTCTGGACCCTCTCGATGCTGGCTACGTCCCTCCTGAAACGTGGCGCCCAGAACTGTAGGCAGTACTCCAACTGCAGCCTGACCAATGTCATAGAGAGGGGAGGATCACCTCCTTGGACCTGCTCGTGATGCATCTGTGGATGCATGACAAGGTGCGGTTGGCCTTCCTGATTGTGTCCCCACACTGTCAGCCCATAGATTCATAGATGTTAGGGTCGGAAGGGACCTCAATAGATAGGGGAGAGCACCACCTCCCTTGGGAGCCCGTTCCAGACCTTGGCCACTCGAACTGTGAAGAAGTTCTTCCTAATGTCCAATCTAAATCTGCTGTCTGCTAGCTTGTGGCCATTATTTCTTGTAACCCCCGGGGGCGCCTTGGTGAATAAATACTCACCAATTCCCTTCTGTGCCCCCGTGATGAACTTATAGGCAGCCACAAGGTCGCCTCTCAGCCTTCTCTTACGGAGGCTGAAGAGGTCCAGGTGCCCCAGTCTCTCCTCGTAGGGCTTGGTCTGCAGGCCCTTCTCCATACGAGTGGCCCTTCTCTGGACTCTCTCCAGGTTATCCGCATCCCTCTTGAAGTGCGGCACCCAGAATTGCACGCAGTACTCCAACTGCGGTCTGACCAGCGCCCGATAGAGGGGAAGTGTCACCTCCTTGGATCTGTTCGTCATGCATCTGCTGATGCACGATAAAGTGCCATTAGCTTTTCTGATGGCTTCGTCACACTGACGGCTCGTGTTCATCTTGGAGCCCACTAGGACTCCAAGATCCCTTTCCGCTTCTGTGCCACCCAGCAGGTCATTCCCTAGGCTGTAGGTGTGCTGGACATTTTTCCTCCCTAGGTGCAGCACTTTGCATTTCTCCTTGTTGAATTGCATTCTGTTGTTTTCTGCCCACTTGTCCAACCAGGACAAGGTATGCTGCTCTAGGATATAATTATTAAAGAAGTTCATTTATCACTCTGGCATGCCATAATAAGACTTATGGTCAAGAAACCAAACATATGGGTGTATAAGCGTAGGAGAGATGTGATATAATAATCTAAACCAGGACAAGGTTCTAGATTTTAAATTCTTCTCCCAGCTCTGTTCTTGGGTAAATTGGTTAATGTTTGTTTAAGCATCCTGAAAATACCTCACAAGAATGTTTTAAAAGTAGCTTGGAGATGCATATCTATTTAAAATGCTGAGGCCTGAATAAATTCATATTTAAAAAATAACTATTTCACTTGCAGTTATTATTCTACAATCATTTTTGGATGTTTGTTTTGGGTTTTTTTATGTTAGTTTTCAAAAGACGGTGACATTTTTGGATTCCTATAATCTCAGCTGTTCTGTACCTTCAAAGGTCCATGAAAAGAAGTTTACAATGTGTGTCATTGTAGGATCTTCAGGATGAAGTGAAGAGGGAGAGTAGTAATCTGCAGAAGCTGCAAGCTCAGAAACAGGAAGCACAGGAAATCCTTAACCAACTCGATGAGCAAAAAGCCAAGCTGGAGGAGCAACTTAATGACATACGGCAGAAGTGCACTGAGGAGGCTCATTTGGTAAGATTTGGTAGTTTGCATTTGAGAGTGGTTCCTTTCTTTGAGATGAAAGGTGTTTTTTGTGCAAGTCCTGCTATACAGTCCTCCAGACAAGAGTAGTACTTGGGCAAGGTGCAAAGCTTGGGTAGGAGGAAGTGTGTCCCTTTGGACTTTGAGGAAGAAGGTATAGGGAACAAATTATTTGTTCAGTGACCTTTTGATTCATATAGGTTCGGCCAGGTGCAGATTTCATGGACATCTGGGCTGGAAGGGAACCCGGAGGATCATCGAGTCCAGCCCCAGGTTGGAAACTTAGCTACCGTCCTGTAAACTGCAGGTGCACCTAGCAGCATCCTGACATGAGCTCTCTGAGCAGTGTACACCATTTAGACCAGTGGTGTTCAGCCTTTTGGCCCCACAGGCCAAATCAGTGGCGCAGGCCCCTGGACTGGGCCCTGTGCTTCCCAGATTGGGCCCTGCACCATGCCATTTAGCCCTACGCACCCAATCTAGCATGCAGAGCCACAGTAATCCAGCCCATGGGGCTCCTCACAGGTCCAGATATTCGGCAACAGGGGAATGGCAAATTAACTGCCACTGCTTTCCTGCCACCAAATTTTTGGATCTATGAGGATTCCCTGTGGGCTGGATGACATGGCTTTACATGCTGGATGTGGCCTGTAGCCTATGAGCTGGGGACTGAGCACCCCTAGTTTAGACTATAGGTTTCACAAAATGCATTGATCAACTCTTGATGATATGAACGATTCCTTCTTTGCTATAGCATAACCCTAAACAAAAGGTTTTAAATATAAAAACACGGCCTACATTGGTCAGAGAAACAATGCTAAAACCCTGCTGACCATTGTGATATTGCAACCCAGCTGAAACCAGTACTGACTTAACCTTTATGAACATACGATTTTAAATCTCCATTGGGAAAGATCATAATTGTAGATGAGGTTTTATGCTTTCCTGGTACTTGAAAGGTAGGTTTTGCCAAACACACGTTGTCTTCGGTTTTGGCTTTAATGAAGTGTTCTTTTACTTCTCAGATTGCCTCGTTGAAGGGTGAAATAACTAGTCAAGAATCTAAGATCTCAGCATATGAAGAGGAACTGTGCAAAGCTCAGGAGGAACTGAGTCGCCTGCAGCAAGAAACTGCAGAGCTTGAGCAGTGCGTTGAGTCAGGGAAGGCGCAGCTGCGACCCCTCCAGCAGCATCTGCAGGATTCACAACAGGAAATCCATGCAGTAAGTCGCTGTGCCAGAGATCTGCAGATGGCAACCTAGCATCTTAATTGACATCCTTGTCCAGTTTGGCCTGGTCATTGCTGTCTTTAGCACATGTTTGTTTCTTTGACTTACCCAAACTTGTTTTCTACCAATTCCTGTTAAGATTCCTGAGTTTGGATATTGAAATACAGGAGGATGCTATATTATATAGGTATTATGATGATGATAAGGTATTTACCGTTTTGCAAGGTCAGTAAACTTACAGACTGGATGAAAAGAAGGAGACCCTTTATTCCTTGTAATTAGAAAAGTGCTGACCTCATTAAAATACTTTTATGTAAAGAAAAAATAAAATTGGGAAGTGTAGGTACTAGTAGCACATGCTTGAGATCAGCATGGACAGCTGGCTGCTTGTCTAACTTTGTACTCCTTTACTCTTCTGTTCTTCAGCTGATTTGATGTGAGTAGAAACTTTCTGATGGTAACATAAAGCTTTGATTTGGAGCACCGTCTAAACAGGATTAAGACAAAATTATCAGATTTGTTCCTGTTTGTGTTTAGGACAGATTAATTAGATTGGCATTTTCAGAACTGTCAGGGGTATTTACAAAAACACTTTTGTAATTTTCCTTCTAGCACTTCTGTTGCTGGCGCTCAGTTTCACTTCGTGTGAATCGATTTCTTTAGAAGAATAATTGTAATATATTTACACAACTTGCTTTCAACCATGGGCATATAATTTAGTTAACAAATAGTCTTGGCATTGTTGCATTCAAGGGCACGCAGCAAGGTTGAGAGACTCTAGCGTCTAGGTTTTTTTTCCCTTTTTTGTGTTAGTGAGAGATGTTTTCAATGATAGCTGGTCCTTCAGTTTATTTTTAATGGTTGTTAGTTAATTGTTCTCTTATCAAAAGTAGTGGTATTTGGATTTTGAACAGATTTTCATATTCATGTCAGTCATCTTTTATAGTCCCATTGAAGTGGTATTGTAGCCGTGATGGTCCAGAAAATGTGCAAGGGGCAAAGATTTTTTTTTTTTGATTTTTTTTTTTTTGGTAATACATTTTATTGGATCAACTGTATATTGCTGGATCAATAAGATGTCACTAACTTTGCCCCTACAGTGTTTTACTGGTCTTTTAAATTTTATTCCTCCTGGCTTACAAGTAGTAAACAGCAGGTATATTAGTTGCAGGATGATCCATTGATTAGTTCACTATGTGGGCCTTAAATGATGCTGGGTCATTTCCTCTGATCTCTACGGGATTCCTGTATGACTTAGCACATCACTTAAATCCAGAACCTGAAAGGTTTTTAGACGCAACCTTTTATTTAGTTGCCAATACAATCTCAGATTTTGAAACCAGTGAGAATTAAGCACCTGAAGACCTGGACTTCATTCCTTACACCTCATCTAGAAAATCACTTAATGTTTCCTTACATAGTAGGGTGGTGTTGAGTTGTCTAATAAATGCATTACCTGTGTGTAGATCAATATAGGTGTATATCTAGTTAGGGAGATGCACTTTTTTTTCTTTAGACTCCAAAAAAATGTGGTTCTCTTTGCCCCTCTTTGGAGAAGATTACTAATCTGTAGTTGTTCCCTGAGGATGGGAATTCTGATAAATCTTTATTTCTCCATGTTGGGATTATGATTTAGTTTTAACTTTCCTTATTAAAAAAATAAACCTGGCAGCTGGGGACTAACACATCTTGCCTGCAGTCTTAGATGGGTCTGTGACTCTTTTGCTACTACTGCTACTTGTCTTCAGCGCATTTTATAAAGACCAGTGGTTTGTTACAACACCCAATGAGACAGGAAGACATTTGACAGAGGAAGAGACAATGCAATAGAGGTTGTGACTTGTCTAGCTCTGCCCTTTAAATTCTTGCCAGAACTGCAACTAAAAACCTCAGTTCTCAGCATGAGTTATTACTTAGACCACAATATCTCTCCATTTTTAAATATGAATCATTCTAATCCATGTCCTGAATCACATACCTAAGATTGAAACCGAAGAGTAGGGCTCTGTTTTATCACTTTCAGGAAATGGTGCTGTTACTTTTGCATGTATACAAGCGTAGCTTGTACTATTTTGCCCTGCTGCAATACTAATGCAAGTTTTCATTCCATTTACAGGTGCAGACAAAACTGTTTGAGCTTAAAGATTTGGAAAATAATCAGTTTAACTGGCATAGTCGCCCACACAACACACTTGTTAATGGGACAGCAGATCATTCTAGTCTTAGCAACAGCAGCAGTGAAACTGCTAACCTTAATGAGAGTGCTGAAAGGGAGAGTTCAGCAGAAGATGAACAAATAAGTCATGAGTCTCCTGTGAGTAAAGTGCTCTGATTTATATTCTCTGATACAATACAGCAGATCAGTGAAGTCTGATGAAATGCTTGTAAGTTGACCCTGTGTATAAAAAGCACAAAAAGAATGTCATGGTGTTATTCTGGAGAGCTACATTTCATTTAGCTGAGAGGAGAGTACAGCAGGAGAGTAGGCAGTCTCTACTTGGCTGACAAGTGGCAGCTTAATAGTTGATTTTTGTATAATATACAGCTGTTCCTAAAACAAGGTTTTCATAAAGTTAATGCTAGAAATTGATACAGAAGTAGAGCAGTCAAGGTAACATGGAGTGAAAAATAATGCGGAAGTTGCAGTGCCTTTTATCTTGGAGTCTTCATTCTTACAGCATCTGCAGGATTCACTAAGAATATTATATAGTACTCTGCAGCATATGCAGATCCTGTTGGCCAGTAATAAGATAGTTCCCTTTTAGATATTTGAATGTATTGCAGTGCATTTTAATATTTTATTTGGCATATGGAAACTTCATATTCAGCAGCTCAATCCTTTTTTTTTTTTTTTTTAGATTGGCATATCTGAATTTAAAACATATTTGGCATTTTTTTTTTTTTAAGCATATCCCACTTCCCACCATGAAATCTTGCTGTTTTCTAAAAGATAGAATCTCTCCATCTCTGGATTGTATTATCCTTCTTGTTCATATAGGTAACGAATAGTCCTGAAACAACACAAGCTGTCATGGAAGAAGAGAAAGAGACCCCGACTGAAAACATTACCAAAAAAGTGAGTTTGAATAAACTTTGCAAAGAAATACACTTTTGAGACAATGCATTAGATTTGCATCCAAACATAGCTTATACAGTGACCATTTAGGGAGACTTTCTGTTGACTGACCTCTCAGATGTCTGTTGATACGTTCAGTAGAATGCAAGTTGTTTGCCTTTTAACATTTTAGGAGCCTTATTTTCTCTAAATTTCAAAAGAAGCGTTATATCTTTCCTATCTTTTTTTCTTTTTAAAGAATGTCATGCTTTTTCCACCCCCCCTTCCCCAGGAGGAGCCATTTGATGAAGAGTCTCCTCCACTACCTGATCCGGTTACAGAAGCCAATTTAGATTTCTTCCAGTCTGACCCTTTTGTTGGCAGTAAGTAGAAATTCAGTATGAATTTACTGAAGAGGATTGCTTAAACTGGTGGGTCTGAAATCGTAGTTTTGTTGGGACTAGAACTTTGTTTTATTATTGGTCCTTTCACTGACTTTGGTGGTGTCAAACTTACTGGAATCAAATGCAAGTGTGCTGGTCCAAGGGCCAGGAGAAGGTAACAAACAGCTTTTCCAAGTCCTGATTATGAGGAAAGAGGTTTGAAACTTTCCTCATTTATCCACACCTTCCCTGCCTCCTTCCAGCAAAGGCAGGGGAACGGGAGGGTGTTTATACTGAAACCTGTTATGTTGAGAAGCCCTCTTGTATGAAAGGTGAAGGAGGGCAGTTTCAGTCTGTTCCATATTGTATAAACTTTGAGCCCATTGAAATCTAACCTGAGGGGAATAAAAATGGTGTGAGACTTGCTGTGGTTTCACTGAACACTTCTCAGCAATGTTATTGGTGTAGTTTTGTATTCTAAGGGCTTGCCTATAGAGGAAAATTAAGTAAAATTTTTAAACCAATGTAATTCAACTTAATTTATTATTAAAAAAGCTCTTGTATCAGCAGTCTTTTTCAGAATTAAAGTTCTCTGAAATCAGTTTAGCATGAATCACTTTTGTATAAATTGAATTCTGACTTCAGTTCTTAATGGAAGTGTTGACACAGGAGTCCAATGCTGTTTAATTTATCCACTTTAACAAGTGAATTTGCATTTATTTTGAGTGCCCCCATGGGGACAAGCCCTGTGTGTGTGTACATATATGTATGGCTAAATATTGTGCTATTTGTTTGTTTGTCAGCAGGTACCACACAGATACATCTTTGAGCTTTATCATCCCTTTTGAATGTGCTCTGTGCTAGGAAATAGTAGTGGCAGTGAATGTTGGCTTTTTAATACCATCCATTCTAGTCCTACTAACATGAATTAAACTTCCCCTGAGTAATGGTGGCAAGGGTTGTTAGCCTGTTTTGAATCTGTACCTAAGTAGCACTCAGTTCAGTGAATATTTAGCTAATAGATTTGTGACCATTTCTCTTTTTCTTAAACAGGCGATCCTTTCAAAGATGACCCTTTTGGGAAAATTGGTAAGTAGTCTAACAGCAGCTCTTTTTTCCCTACCAGGATTTATATTTTATATATCTAATATGGGGGGAACCCAAGTGATTTATTTAGAATATGGAAAAACTTTAAGTTTTGGTCATTAGTTTCAATCTAAGCAAAGCATTAATGACCTGAAATAATTACTATTTGATAGGTGAACCATGTCTTACAGAGCATCTTAAATAAGTTTAGGCTCCATAGCTTTAATTATTGTCCATATAAAATTTCCTACTTCAATTGGCAATGCTCAGCCATTTGTATCAAGTCAGAGTTGAGTTCGAGGTACCCCAGTAGTGGTGTCAAGTTTATTTCGCTGCCAGTTTAGTATCTGTCCTGTAGTTAAAAGGGGCTGGTTCGTGAAGGTTATTGATCTAGCACCTTTTACTAGCATTACATTGCTTAAAGTTGAAGCCACTGCTTAATTAGAATGGTGATCTAGACAGTGTCACTGCATTACTAGGTCCTGAGCTGTCTTAAGGGTGACTTTCTCTGTTACAGCTAGAAAAGTCTGCTCTTTTTGTATTGACCAATGTTTCTTGAAGCCAAATACAATGGTTGATGTAGCTACAAATGGTATATGGAATACAAAATAAGGCAAACGAAAGACAGTCGGAGGACAGTAGCAAAACAGCATCGTATGCCAAGCTCTATATGCTGGTACAAGAAATGCATTGGAATTCCTAGATGAAACAGTATTTTAGCAGAAATGGAAAACAGACCTAGTTGGAGCATTATCTTAAGGAGTGATATAAGGATTTTAATCAGTTGCCATTTGTCTGCCACTTCTTGAGATGCTTTTGTTGTAGATCTTTTCAGTTCAGTACCCTGTCTAACGTATTAGTGTGCAGTCACATGGAGAGCGTTATAATTCCCATGAGCTCGCTGATCCTGTTTGCACTCTAGACTGAGAATTCTTCCTCTGTGCAGTTGTTTGCCAAACGTGACCCATCAAACAGTCTGCCTATTAAGAGAGGAAAGATGGGGAACAGCTATGATATGCTGGAGTTAAGAGAAACTGGTTTCAAGGAAGTAAGGATCCTTATTAGCAGCAGATAAGACTTCTGGAGGAAGATGCTGAGAAATGTAGAATCAACGGAAGTTGGAGACACTTGGTAGAATCAGAAGTGATCTCCCCCGCCCCAGGTAATGATCAGCAAAGTTCCAGGGTGGTTCAGTTCAGCTAGGCAGTGATTTTAAAAGTAGTTCAAAGTACTGGAGCAAGCTACCTTTAGTCATGCATCTCCCCAAATATTTACCCAAGCCCTTCCTCTGTAAGGCATTATCCTTCTTTCCGTGCTTCCCTAGGCAGTGTTCAGCTGTGAAATGTTCAATTAGATATTGGGCGTGGACAGAAGTGCAGCCACCACCGCCAAGTGCCAAAGCATGTTCACACCCAAGCCCTTCTGATGACTTCACTGCACTCAGGCTTTATTTAGCAGCTGTGCTGTCAGATCATGAAGTATGCTCTGGAAAGGCACCAGCTCCTGACTGAACAGTGGTGGCCAGCTGGAGGGGCCAAGTGTCTTTGTGTTTTCAGCTGGCTGCTGAGCAGTGACAGAAATCTTATGCCACTTGGCAGGTGTTGGAGCAGCTCTGCTGGCAGCGTGGCAAGTTCTGCTGCCACAAAGGGTTTTCTAGGCTTTGGCTTCTCACTCCAATCTTGGCTTCCCTCCATGGGGACTGGGGCCCCACATCCCACCTTGCATGAGGAGTCAGGGAAACAATTTTCCAAGCAAGTCTGAAGTCCTTCAGAATTCATTGCACTCCTCATGGCATATTTTCCAAAAGCTTAAAACCCTTTAGTAGAAGCCAATGGTAGCAATGTGTCTGCAGGTCACTGCCTATTTTGAATTTGAGTGTGCAAAGGTGTGGCTCTGGTTCTTTCCCATGGCTATGAGTGAAAAAAGTTAGGAGAATTTTAGATTGTGCAAAATGCTACGTTTTGTGGGAGGCTGCTTTGCTGCTCTAGATGCTTCCAAAATTGGATCAACTGCATAGTTGGGAGAGCAGTTAGACAAACTTTCAGGCATCAGCTGTCCTTCCTCAAGTCTGAAGTGGAAGCAGACTCAGGCTGAGCTAAATTACAAAGACCAGACTCTCAGCAAATTTGTATATTCTTCTTTGGAGGATGGAGGAGGGCTGATGATGGCTCTACACCAGACACCCATAAGGCACAACATTTCAGAGCAATCCAAATAAGCATGCTGATTCTTGAGCATTTCATTGAACTTTAAGAGGGAAGCAGTGATCCACTTGAATTGTAACAGATCAATCACTCCAGTGTTAATAGGAAGGAACCAATACAAAATCATGTGTTTGGATTTTTTTAAGACATTCATCTAAATGAAACAAAGCATCTTAATGACAAATGTTTCTTAAATAAGTGTCCTTTATTGTATGCAGATCCTTTTGGTGGTGATCCCTTCAAAGGTTCAGATCCTTTTGCAGCTGACTGTTTTTTCAAGCAATCCTCTACTGATCCTTTTGCAGCAGCATATACTGATCCTTTCAACACAACAGGCAATAATCTCACAGTAAGTTTGGAAGAAAACAGAAGGTGTTTGGTCAAATGCCTTGACTAATAGTTGGTCCATATGGAACCATTCTGTGCATAGGGACATGCTTTGAAATGCAGATGTTTGTTCTTCGAGATGAAATGGATTTTCTGTTCCATGAGTTGTCTTCAAAGATCTTTGTTCTAATTCCTAGAAGTATATTTTGGGACAGTATCTCAAGAAACAGTGTAGGGCAGGGGTTGGCAGCCTACAGCCTGTGGGCCAGATCCAGCCCATGCAGTCATGCCCATGGCAGCAGAGGGCTCCAGTAGCGGGGAACTTCTACTGCACTATGCTGCAGTCAGGCACCTGGTGCTCTGGCAGAGGGATAGCACTCTCTGCCCATCTGCACTGCAGTCCAGTAGCACAGGGCTCTGTCAGGTGCCACAGCTGAGTAGTGGGTGAAACAGCAGTGGCAGTGGGTCCCAATGCCTGCCTGTCTCAGACCCAAGCTGAGTCATTCTGCCTTCTTTCCCCACCCCACCCTACCCCTGATGTAGGGCATGGTAGATGTCTCATTCTTCTAGACCAGTGCTTCTCAAAGTGGTGGTCCACGGACTGATGTCTGTCCGCGAGCCACAGGTCACCGGTCCGCAGTGAGTTGCCAGGAAAGAAAGAAATACATTCGCCGGTCCGCAGTGAGTTGCCAGGAAAGAAAGAAATATATTTTCAGAAGCATAACATTGATATGTCATAGCGCCACAGTTGGTACGTTCCAACACTCCAGGTGACATCACGTCATGCGAGGTGAGGAAAGAGAAAGAAACAGCCAGTCGCGCATTTGCATAGCGCTTTTGCATGCAGTTGCTGTCACCAGCTGAACCAGGCACCGGTCCCTGGCCCACTGGGAAAAAAATTGCTTGTCCACCACATCAGATAGTTTGAGAAGCACTGCTCTAGACTCTGATAGCACTAGCTAAACTTTTCATGTCTGATTTCATCCATTTTCACCCTAAAGAATTGAATAACTGAGAGAGTGAGTGAGGACCAGTTGCTATTTCTGGCATGATTAACACCTTAATCGTACCAGAAACATAACACATGCCGGGGCCTGTGTGTAGTCCATCATGGTAATAAGATGTGTGCTTATGGATGGAGAAGTAAAGGCTCTAATCTTTTAGGTGGCTTAACATTTTCCTTGCTTCTGTGATGAGGAAGTGGGGATGCACATGGCAGTTTGACCCTTTTATGACAATTGTGTGCATTAATACATTTTAATTAGAAATTGATGAAGAAGAGAGCTAATTTTAGACATCTGAGCTAAAAGCAAATATGTGAATTCCCACACCCCAGGAAAGTGGTTATGAAGCATGTTACACAGATGTTGATCTCCGTTTCCACTCTGGAAAAGTGCCAGTTGTGCTCTCTAAGAGTAGCTCTTTGAAGGCGATTCATGCTTTAGTTTTAACAGAAAAGCCCTAAAAAATTAAGTCTCCAAAAGAATTACGGTGTTCTTTCTAAATATACTTTAGAGCCAAAATGACCCATATACGTATTTGAGAACCAAGTTGAGTATGGTGAGGACATTAAAAAAACTTGGTGGCAAGTTTAACTGGAGAATAGATTAGTACGTCTCTGAATACTGCACTTCCAGTCACGTGTTAAAAGTTGCTTCTTTTCAAATTTCTCCTAGAATATAGTAACTATTACTGAATTGCCCATCAAGAGTGATGGGGGAGAGGGAAAGGCGGGTGGGGCGAGGCCAGCAGGGATGAAGCACAGCCACCCACCACCCGTACTGCCTCCCAGGAGCAGTGTGGGGGGGAAGCTTGCCCCTCTGTCCCCCTACAGCAGCACCCCGGACCGCTGTCCTCGCCTCCCCCCTCTCTGTCTCCTCTGCCTCCGAGGAGCAGGGCTGGATGGGGTGGCGCAAAGACAGCAGTGCTGGAGATGGCAGCAGTGCAGGGAACTGGCGGAGGGGGCAGAGGCAATGGCGGGGAAAGCTTTCACCTCCCTCTCTTCCCCCCCCCGTGCGCGCTCCTGAGAGGCGTCACGGGGTGGTGGATAGCTGCACGCCATGCCCGCTGGCCTCGCCCCCTTGCTCCGTCCCTGCCATCATGGCAGCGCTCCACACTCTGGTTGTTTCACTAACCAGTCAGAGTGCTCCAAGAGCATTATGGACAGACGGACTAAGCCTTTTATTATACAAGAAGATTAGGACAAACATAAAACACCGTTTTCAAGGTTAACTTGCTGGCTTGTTGGGGGTTTTTTTGGAAAACCAAAAAATTGTAAGTTGAACTCTGCTAAAAATTCTGAATTACATTCTCCATTTTGTTAGCTTCAGTTAACTGTGAAACACCTGGGAAACAAACTGCCACATGTTTCCTTGAGGTTATGCAGACCAGAACCCATTCCTGTGGTACGTAGGCCTGAAGAAGCAATCTTAAACTTTGCAAAGATGTAGCTTGCTTTCCTGTGGAGCTTTGTTGCTCCGTGGGATGGAAATGTCCTATTCATTCAGGGCTCTGATTTTACAAGTTCTAAACTTTCTCGTTCCATCCTCAACACAGTCAGTAAATAACACAGAAAATATGATCTAGTAGCTGGAACTGGGAACTGGAAGTCAAAACTGAAAGGCCAGTTACAGAGGAAGCATTGATCAGATGCTTAACAGACAAGGGGAATTAGTCGTTCTCATCTAGGTTCTACTTCCACCTTTGTCACAAACTTGCTGTATGCTCTTGTTGGTCACCAGTCCTCTCTGCCTCGGTTTGCTCATCCGTGAAATAAGTCATTAATACTTGAAGGGGTTCCCATACTTTGAAAGATAAAATGATAATGTTGCGGTGATCAGCAGGCATGAGAATTTGTGCTGAGGTAAAGCTCTGTTATTTTTTTAGGGTGTTATAGATGTAAAGAATACAAGTCTCCCTTAAATGCATTTTCTGTTGTAGGCAGAAACACCGAAGAACAATGATCCTTTTGCTCCTGGTGGAACAGCCATTACTGCGCAAAATGATCCTGGTAAAGCAAGATTATATGTATTAAACCTCTTACAGTATGAAGAAGAAAGCTTTACAACATATCCAGAAAAAATAATAATCAATATGTTTAATTATGTGAACACCTTAATGAGAAAATAGGGCCATTGCCTAGAAACGTATGTAAATGTGGACTGCCTTAGTGAAGACAATAGTCAGTCTGACCTCAGGGAGCTCAGATATCATGATCTGAGTTGTGGCACTTGATGTACTATATCAGCCAGGAAAAGAAAAAAGGGATTGGATCTAGAGCTATCTTTTTAAATAAGGTAGTCCATTTTAATTGCAGCAAATGTATACTTTTTTCTGGGAAGCATGTATGTAGGTATGTGCAAAGATATTACATCTTGTGCTGCCTTGAAAAAAAACACTTGGATAGTTTGAACCCACCTAGTTGTGAAAAGGAAAGTCGGTCCAAAGGGATCAAGAGATTCAGGGTGAATGATAATGAGGATGAGTTTGATTTTCCCATGATTAAAACAATCATTGAAAGCTTCCTTTTTTTAAAAAAAACCCCTCTATTTATCCCAGTTTTTTTTATCTTAAAATATTTTGTAGCAAACTTATCTGCTTAGGTTACTGATGCTTGTGAAGAAAAGTGCAGCATCTCAGTGCTATTATCTAAAAACCTACCTGTTCAGAGGAACAATTATTCTGAATTAGTAAAGAGCATTTGATATTTTTAGTAAAGTAAAAATATTTCCCATGACTGAAACCAATACAATCACCTTTTTTTCTATTCATGTGGACTAGTCAATATATAATTTGGATTATGTCGTACCTTGTAATCTTTTTATATGATTATACAACTAAAACATTCTGATTTAGGCTGACTATGTTAGTTTAGTCTCTGAAACACAATGTACTGTTTGATTCTGTCCTGTTCTGTTTGTTCATTTTCTTATTTTAGCTGCAGATCCCTTTGCCTCTCTGTTTGGAAATGAATCGTTTGGAAGCGGTTTTGCTGACTTTAGCACACTGTCAAAGGTAATGGGAAATGATTGAAATATGTGAACAATGCTGAAATCCTTAGATACAATAGGAAGACTTAATGATTTTGGTTGTTATACAACTTTTGTATTAGCATTCTAGTTTTGCACCCTTAAAGTGACAAAGTTTAACTTCTGAAAGGGGTTCTTATGGGAAAGTGCCTCAAGTCCTGCTATGAAGGATATGATATAAATATTCTGATACAGTTTAAAAAAATATTTAGATATATGTAAGCTTGCTTGAGCCATGTCTGTCTTGATCTCATCTTGCAGTTAAACTGCTCTTAGCTTCTTTGGGTCTGTAGCCATAATGAACTGCTTGTTGCTGTGTATGCTGGTTCCCTGGTCTCTTTTTGTTGATTCCTGCACAAATGCTCCTTTTTGGGTATATCCAGAAGTTAGGGGAAAGGTGTGGTAGGAGTTTTGGTTTCTGTCTTTCACTGTGGCAGTAAGATATATACTCATTTCTTTGCCCTCTAGGGGTGAAATCTTGGCCCACTGAAGTCAATGGGAATTTTGGCATTGATCTCAGTAAGGTCAACATTTCACCAAACAGTTTTAAAAAATGTGCTGCTTAGCTCATTTAAAAAAAATATATTTGTCCTACAGTAGGCAGGGCCTTAGTGTCTTAATAGCTGGTCTTAGGAGAAGACTCGTAATAGCAGTGCTCCACACTATATTCATTAATCCCCAAAGCAGAAAGGACTTCTTTGTTGGCTAATACAGGGGTTCTTTGAAAAATTTCACTGTAAAACATCTGTCATGACTTCTGTCAAGAAAGTCACTGGTATATAAGTTGGAGAGTTTGAGACGATGAGAAAAAGTTGTTCCTGGGTTATTCCTACAGTTTTTTTGTAGTCCTGAGTCAATGAAGCCCCCTTTTACTCTAGTTCCCAAAGTGCTGGCTTCCTACTTACTGCGAAGTATAGCATCAGTACCAGTCTCAGGTTTCTTTTTGCTTTAACTATCACTGTTGTATCTGAATGCTCCAAGGGTTACTCCTGTCTGTTGCCCTTGTGATTTTTAATTTGATTATTTTTCATCTGAAATTATCTGTTGATCTCTGCATCACGTTTGCCTCAAAAACAATATGGTAAGGACAGAGCTTTTCTGTTCTCTGCTTGTACAGCACCCAGCACAATATAACCTGATTAGGCCTTTTCAACTGCTATCGTTACATACATTTGTAACTTTGTATTATGCACAACAGTGGCACGATAAACGATTTCTAATTTTTCTCCAATTTTCATTGCGTTTTTCTAATCAAGGTATGGATCTTTGATCAGAGGTCAGGAAAACAGATCTTATGACGACAGGCTGAGAGCAATGGGGCTCTTTAGCCTGGAAAAGCGGAGGCCAGGGGTGATCTGGTAGCCACCTATAAGTTTATCAGGGGTGACCACCAGTATCTGGGGGAACGTCTGTTCACCAGAGCGCCCCAAGGGATGACGAGGTCGAACAGTTATAAACTACTGCAAGACCGTTTCCGGCTGGACATAAAGAAGAATTTCTTTACTGTCCAAGCCCCCAGGGTCTGGAACAGCCTGCCACCGGAGGTGGTTCAAGCACCTACATTGAACACTTTCAAGAGAAATGTGAATGCTTATCTTGCTGGGATCCTATGACCCCAGCTGATTTCCTGCCCCTCGGGCAGGGGGCCGAACTTGATGATCTTCCAAGGTCCCTTCCAGCCCTAATGTCTATGAAATATATGAAATTTATGGAAGAAAAAAGGTGGAATTAATGCTGTGATGTGTATTTGTTTTTTTTAAAGGCCAACAATGAAGATCCCTTTAGTTCTTCCACATCAGGGTCTGTCAACAATGTAGTCATAACTAAAAACTTATTTGAGGAACCACCAGCCAAAAATGAGGATATTCCTCCTGCTTTACCACCCAAGACTGGAACTCCTACAAGACCCTGTCCCCCACCGCCAGGTAGGAGCTGATGTTTGAAGTTTCATTAAAGATCGTCATACTCGCTTCTATATTGATAGCAGTTTAATGGCTCCTTTTCTTCTGACTAGTACAGTAGAGTTAAATTCCCTGTGGATTTTATTGGGGTTGGGGTATTGTTATACCCATGATGGTCCAGGGAATATATGAGCCTTGAGGATTTTTTTAGTGATATCTTCTATTGAATCAACTTCATAGTTGGGAGAGATTTCAAACCAGTTTTCAGATGTAAAGTGCTCTTCCTCAAGTCTGGAAAAAGAATCAGATGCAGCTTGAGCTAAATAACAAATCAAACAATGGTTTGTATATAGCTCCATATGTAAATCTAAAACAGTCACTTCAAGGAATGGAGTGGCACTATAAAGTAGAAGCAGAGACATTATCAAGAGTTACTTCAAAATGTAATACTCCTGTTCTCTGCCAGTCCAGTTGTAGCATCTGTCAAAGTAAGCTGTAGCCTATGAAAGTTCATACTGTTCTGAACAAGTTAGCCTATAAGAGCAGCTATACACATGCCTCATGCCTGCTCCAACGTGTGCTAAGTAGCACACGTTGGAGCAGACTCGATGAATTAAGTCTGCTGGAGCATGCTAATTAGCACACTCCAGCAGCCTTGGCTTCACATGTATTCAACATCCCTGCTCTTCAAAATGGCTCATTGACCAAGCTTTAGTTAAAGTGCCCCCGCCACCATTTTGAAACATGGGATACTGCATGCATGAGACCCTGAAGGCTCTTTAATTAGAGAGGTTCCAGAAAGCCACTCTAATTAAAGTACCTCCCACCCCAGAGTAGATGTGAAGATGCCCTTAGATGCTGCCTTGCCTTTCTTTCTGCCTAACTCCAGACCAACATGGTATATCTCTCTCTGCAATAGGATTGATAACCTAATTATGTGGAAGAGCAGAACGATTCAAAAGGGAAAGGGGGCATTGTGTTAAGTCAGCAGTATGCTTATAGGGATCAAGGAGCTGGAAAAGTTGAGAAAATGTAGTAACTTTAAATTTCTACAAGGGAAACTTTCTACAGAGAACTCTGTTCAGTGGTGCTTGCTGTGCTTTGGTGCAAATCTTAAGGAAAAGATATGGATAACTTGAATTTTGTGTCCAAGTACTGTTGGAAACCCCTAATTTCCAATACCTTCTCTTACTTGAAGAAATCTTAGTGCTTGTATTCATAGAACTCAAAGTGAATTGTACAAGTCTAAGTGTCATGATTCTCATTTCTCAAATGGAAAACCTTGACTTCTTTCCATCCAGGTGACTCCTCCAAGGTCTTGTAGTATAGTCAGTGGAAGTTAGTAATAGGCCCAAGTTTCCTGACTCCCAGTCCTGTGCTGTATCCACTGAACCCTGCTTACCTCCAGAAAAGAGCTTGATGAATGAAGATAACATTCATGTTCCAGTGTCTTATAAGTAATAAATAGTTTAAAAAATAACAGGATTGCTTGTTAAATTTCACAGTATTAAAAGAAATATATGTGGTGAACAACTTTATTCAATTATTAAATGGATAAAAAGCCACAGTTTGTTCAAGTTGTCATATTTTTTTATCTAATTAGTGTTTAAAGTAGGACTGTCAATTAATTGTGGTTAATGTGTGTGGTTAACACGTTAATCATTGTTTGCCCTAACTTTTTTAACACATTAATCACACGCGTGGTTTGGGAGCCCTCACCTGGGCTCTGCTCTGCTGCCATCACCACTGCTTCTGGGCTGCCCCATGGGGCAGCGGTGGCAATGCAGAGGACTGCAGGGCAGCCCAGGCATGGGCTCTGGGCAGCTGCAGCAGGGGTGTGGGGAGGGGCGCACACAGACGAGAAGCCACAGCCTGCAGGTGGCCAGGAATGCAGCCCGGCAGTGTGTGGAGCAGCGTCCAGCAGGCAAGTCTGTGAAGGGGAAGAGGCATGGGGGAGGGAAGGGGCGTGCGCAGATCAAGGCCTCCATGGTGAAGGAGGGAGGAGGGCAGAGGCCAGGGCCAGGGGCTGGGGTGAATGGGGCCCTGGGGTAGTTCATGAGACGGAGCTGCAGGCGGCTTCTCCCCAGGCATGGGGGGGAGGGGAAGGGCTGCTCCTGCTGCTGTGCATACCCCAGGAGAGGCATGAGCCCCCCAGACTTGTGCATGGGGTGGAGATGGCCTGCCGCTGTAGGCTGGGGCCTTGCACCCTGCTACCTTTGCCCCAGGAGCTACACACTGGCTGCACCGCATCCCCTTCCTGCTTGGCAGTGGGAGACGCAACATGGCGTCGCATGGCAGTGGGGCACAGAGCCCAATGCACAGTGGCAGGCCACCTCTGCCCCACGCACAAATCCAGGAGGCACATGTCTTCCATGCCTCCCATGGGGTGCACGCAATGGGAGCAGCCCCCGACCCATGTCCCTGGACAATGTGCCTGCAGCTCCATCCCACGACCCACCCCTGCCCCTGTCTGCCCCACTCCCTCCCTCACCATGGGGACCTTGATCTGTCCCCCCTGTCTCTTTCCTCCCTACACACTTACCTGCTGGGCAGTGTCTTTGTGCATGCATGCGTGCATGTGTGTGTGTGTGCATGTGTGTCTGTCTGTCTGCCCCTCACTCCCAAGCCACAGACACCCCCAGCCCTGCTACTGCCCCTCACTCCTGACCCATAGTACCCCACATCCACAGACCACCCCCCCAGGCTCTGGACCCCCCCCATACCTTCACAAATTCCCCCCACACCCACCCCCTAACCATACAAAGTACCTGCATAATTTTGCATAACTTTGAGATATTTCGACACACAATTTTCAGTTAGTTGTGCAATTAACGTAGTGATTAATTGCAACTAATTTTTTTACTCATGCAACTAATTGCAATCACATTTTTTAATCATTTGACAGCCCTAATTTAAAGCTGTTCTTTCAGTTGTATATAGTGGTGTTTGTCTTATCTTTCATATGCATGTGACGTTGTAGTAATGTATAAGCTTAAATATATCTGCTGTTTTCTTACTGTGTACTTGTATCTTTTTAAAGAGATTGGTCCTAAATAAGGAAGTTGTTGTAGCAGGTGTTCAGGACTTCAGAGTCAAAATTCCTTAATGAACTGCAAAGGGAATAATAGGCCAGTTTTCATGCCTGTGAATCTGATGCTGCATCCCTACCAGAGAAGCTCTCTGAGGTTCAGAACACTTCAGAAAAGGAATTTTTTGCTTTTTGGACTGCATCAGATTGAAGGATGTTCTGTACTCAAGGGTCTTTCAAGAATTAATTTGTCTCTGGCATGAAGAAAATTAGAGGCTGTGTTGTCCTGTTAATTTTAGAAAATGAAAGGCATGCAGTAGTAGTTTTTGTACCAGCACACATTATCTGTGGGGTATAGTCTAAATATCTCAAGTAATAAAAATTATTTTATATTTCCCAATGAATATACATAAAAGAGAGAAAAAGTGTTGCTAAGTTGGAGTCTCCTAGGGACTTACAGAACTATTTCAGACTAAATGAGGCCAAAATAAATTTGAAGTGGATCAATTAGTTATTGTGAACATCAAAAACTATTTTGAAGAAAAGAGATTTTCCAGCAGAAACAATTGAAGATGTTGGAAGCCTCACTTTTGAAACTACCTTGAATGATTACATATGCAGAAAAAGAAGTTGAGAGGCAGGAAGAATATTAAACAGACTCAGTTTTGGAAGAATTGGGATCGTGTCCTCCACAAAGTATTGAGAGCTGACTTTGAGTAAGCTGAAGATAGAAGAGTGCGGATCTCAATTTTTGATGGATAAATAGCCATCTACTGTCATTTAGACGGGGTTGGCGCAGAGTAGGTGAACACTTGTTGTTAGGTTACTTCATCTTCCCTGAAAACCAGAGAAGCCACAAATGGCAGCGAAGTTAGAAGTTCACCAGAGATCTTCAAAGCATTAGTAAAACGTTTGTTTTTCTTTCTAAGGGTTTGTTGTTGTTAGGGTTTTTTGGGGTTTTTTTTACTTTGCTATTCATGTAACTAGCTCAGTTCGTAAATGACTAGATACAGTATTTAATAACTTATCTTATTACAGTTGCATAGATACCTGGAGAACAAAGAAAATATTGTTCTGGAATGACGGTCTTTAAGAGACTGTGACATTTAATACACATGCGTAAATCCTTTAGTCTGTAACTGAATGCCTAATTAGATATGGAAGAAATAGGAAATGAGGGGGCTGTTCGTCAGAGAGCCTCCACACCACTGAAGTCAGCAGGGCTCTGCCCCTTTATGCCAGGATGCAGTCCAAATAGCTCTTGTGTTATGGATTTTTTAAAGGCAGTACCACACAGCAGTGTCAGTCATCTGTGTCATTTGAGTTGATATCAATTATTTTAATCCAGGGAAAAGACCTATCAATAAGCTGGATTCTTCAGATTCCTTTAAATTGAATGATCCGTTTCAGCCTTTCCCTGGCTGTGAGACTCCCAAAGAGCAAGAAGCAGATTTGTTTTGTGACCCATTTGCTCCCACCAATTTCAGTAAAGAGACAGACGCCAACAATTTTGCAAACTTTGGTAATGTAAGTAAACTTTTTTGCGGGTTTTTTTCTTCATGGAGTGGGGGGCAATGGAGGAATTTATTTTTCAAGATTAAAAAATAAACCAAACAAGTGATTCAATTGCAATAAAATCTTGAGGCTTAATTGAAAGTAACCAAAACTTATCTTCTGAACTGTGTCATCCTTTTCCATTAAGGATCTAATTTAAATGTTTAAAGTCTAAATATTAATTTTAGAGCAAACACCCACATAAGAGATTTTACACTCAAAGCTTGTATTGTAGATTGTCATCCATTCCTTTAAAATATATATTTTTTTAAATTCAGAATAGTTTTGATAATATTTACATTATAATTATTGTATTGAGGTTTTTCTGTAAAGGGTCCCTGGCTCTTATTAAGCAACCAGCCTTTGTTTTCTAGGGAACCTCTGTTAACTTAAATTTTGCAATAGATTTTAAAAACTGCACTGATTCAAATCATGTGATATAATGCTGTAGTTACATAATAAAACCAAACAAACCAAAACAGGGCCCTAATTTTATTTTTTTTTAATTTTACTCTTAAGTATTATCTAAAATATTTGGTCAAAATTTCATGTTACGTGATAAATTCTAGAAGATCCATGTTTATTATTAATAAAATATGGTTTTATTTGAGTTATGAATGGTTGCTAAAATAAAGGTTCAAGCACAATATAGTAAAAAGTAGCAAGTAGTTGTTTATACTTGACCTTCAATCTTCATCTTTTAAATGGATGCATATACTGATAGCAAACTGTATTGATTGCTGCCATTAGCAAGCCATAATAAATAGCATGCTTAACTTAAGTAAAACCTGTTCAGATCTTAAAATGGATAATGTTCAATTGGGTTGTGCTGCTTACTGTATTTTGTAGCGTGGCTATCCCTGGAAAGCTCTTGCTGCTGACACTTCTTACCCAGAAAGCCTGGGGTGCTAAAAGAGAAAGTGAAGCAAGAGAGAGATGAGTTGTCTGTCATCTGAGAATGAGTATTTGGACGGTTTCCTCTGGTTTCAGCTGCTTGGATCCTTGTGGGTGGGCTACAGGGAGGAATTAGAAATTTCTCAATTTCTGTTCACTTGAAAAGTTTCAGAAACTATCAAGACAGAAATTAGCTTGAGGATATTAAAACACCTAGTATTTGCACGCTCAGTAGGAGCATATTTGACCTTGATGTGCCTACTCTTTAAGATAATGCCTCACTTCTGACTACTATTCAGGATCACAAAACCAAGTTACTGCAATATTATAGTAGCACATTTTACACTCTGGGCATATACATACACGCACCTTTTCTTTCACTCATTTTTTTTCTTCATTTTAATGGCAGGCTTCTGGTTGCAGAAGTACATGGCTAGTGTGGTATTCCTCTGCAGAAGCATTCTTCCAGTGGCACCACCTGTACATCTAAATTGACTATGATTGCATGCTTTATTGTGCAGGATTTTCCATTTGGAAAAATCCACTGTAGCGGAGCATCACATAGTGAAGTGAGGACAAAGCTGGTTTTCCCACCGTTCTAGATTCAGTCAGATTCAGGTGGCTGCTCAAAAGCTTTAAAGGGTGGTATTTTTTTTTATGGACTGAAGTATTCATCATCTGACTGGGTTGTACTTTTAGATTCCTATGTTTATTGGACAGATGGTATTTTTCAGTGTAATCGCTTGTCAGGACTGCTTTATTGCAGTTCTTAAATCACAAATGAAACTTGTACCATGCTAATACGGGTGAAGGTTGTAGCCGTGTTGGTCTAAGGACAGGGTTCTTAGATACCCACTATCTTTTATTAGACCAACTCAAATAGTTGGAAAAATCCTTCTTAGCAAGCTTTCGGGCACAAACACCCTTTGTCAGGCTGAGGAAATGACTGCAGTTGGTCTGTGCTCTTCCTGGATGGCGTGGCAAAGCAGCCAGAGGTGAGCACCTATGCAAGAGAGCCAGTCAGTGAAAATGTAAAATGAGGTGGTCAGTAGGTGAGAGACAGATGAGGGGGGAAGGGGAATGAATGTAGCTATAGCCAAAGGATGGCAGACAGGAGTGGGGGGGAAGGGAATGAAAATAGCTGGTAAAAAGTGGAGGGTTTACCTGGTGAGTCAGACTCCCCACGTAACCCCTCCACTTTTTACCAGCTATTCTCATTCCCTTCTTTCTCAAACCCTCCACTTTTTTTTACCAGCTGTTCTCATTCCCTCCCCACCCCTTACCCATCTGTATCTCATCCTTTGGCTACAGCTACGTTCATTCTCCCTTTCCCCCCACCTCTCTCGCCTACTGACCACCTCAATTTACGTTTCCACGGACTGGCCTTCTTGCATAGGTGCTGGCCTCTGGCTGCTTTACCACACCATCCAGGAAGAGCACAGACCATCTGCAAATGCTTCCTCAGCCTGACGAAGGGTATTTGTACCCGAAAGCTTGCTAAGAAGGATTTTTTCCAACTGTTTGAGTTGGTCTAATAAAAGATATCAGTGTTACCCAAAGAACCTTGCCTACCATGCTAATACATATTTTTTTTCATCACAGGAGACTATTTACATTATTTTAAAACTAATGTGTCAATATTTTGGAACAGTTTAAGTGACTTCAGAACCTAGTGTGAGATGTGAACAGGGTGGTTACTTTTTCATTAATAAATCCAGATATTTTGTCTCTTGAAACTGCAGTATCCTACTGAAGAAGACATGATTGAATGGGCTAAGAGAGAAAGTGAGAGAGAAGAGAAAGAGAGACTTGCAAGATTAAAACAGCAAGAGCAAGAAGATTTGGAACTGGCGATTGCACTCAGTAAATCTGAAATTTCAGAAGCATGAAGTTAGAATGACAGTGTGTCTTATGTCAACTGTTTTGTCCCATTTCTCCCATTTCCTGAGTATTTAATCTATTTAAAATGTTAATCAGAAGCTACCTATGGATAGGAAAGTATGAAAGGTTTTAAATTCCTGCAAATGTGATCAATTATTTATCTTTTTTTTAAAATCCCATTCTGATTTATAATTTTTCCTGAATTTGATTAACATTATCAGCCAACTTATAGCAGAGCACTGCTCCACCGTGGATGCTTTCGAGATTTTTGCCTGTGCTATTTTTTTTTTGGTGTATACCCAGGACAATAAAGTCTCTTTCTGTAATACAGAGGGAGAGAACACTGCATGTCATCTTTAAAATCATTGTCGTTCTTGTCTTGTATGAAGACATCTTCGTGAACATTTGTGATTCTTCAAGTTCAGAAACAAGAAAATATTGTCCCAATCAAGTTCCTTAGAAAGCAAGTTGATGAGAGTGGCACAGGACACAAAAGTATATGCCCAAACTTCCATATTCTTAGTGCACATGATGGCTTTTCTTTCCAGGTGGAAGGGCTGGTTTATTTAAAGAGATTGTAACCCAGGCAAAAGCTAAAATATTCTTTTCTGCTGTTTCACAAAGAATGTAGGTAGAGTTTCAATACTTATTTTTATATGGTATGTGGACATTACTGGTACATTTCACTTTTTGGTTATTTGACATTTGGATAATGGATTGTTTTTGCGTTCACACTCCCCCAAGTTTAAGGAAAGCAAAATAAAATTCGTACCTGAAAACAAATCTGTTTACAACACAGTCGGTGAGACTACAGCTTGAGTATAAACTGGCAGGAGTTGGCAGGTGAGCAGATGGTGAGTATGGCAATTGTGCTCTTGCGTATGGCTTCTCATCAGGCTGTTCTCATCAGTTGCTTGAAACCTTTTGTACTTTTTCAGAAGAGATTATAGTAATGCTGGAACAGAGTGCTTTATTTTTTATCTATACATATGTCTTTTCTCTTCTTCAATGAAGGTTCTACTGCTGGACTTGAAATTAATTGATAATCTTTTTAGAGTGCAAGTGGGGAAAACTATTCTACTGAAACATTTACTTGCTTTCTTGCATGTCTCTGAGATTTGAAGGCAGTTGGATCAGTTGTGTTGTTACGGAGTACTAGAGAACTAAATAGATAGTTTGCATTAAATTGCTCTTGGCCAAGATGACTGACAAATTATGAAGACCCATTGCTAATTGAGCCAAATTCTGTGAAATATGCAACTAAACCGGCAAGTTGACAAGTGGAATATGAGATTCGATAGAGTAGGATGCATAAAGGCGTAGTTTAATTTTTTACAAGTCTTTTTCTGTACATGTAATTTATTGAATGCCAACTGATAGTTGCACCTTAAAAAAACTGATTTATAATTCTTTATGGTCACTGAGTCAAAGTAGGATTAAAAGAGTGTTAATAAAAGTAACTTATTGCTTATTGTTAAGTGTACTCCATTCTACAGTAATCGGGTTCTTTTACTTCACTCTAAACAGTGGTGCTTTTGTCCAGTATATACATAAAACTGGACTGCAGCAGCATAAACTCTGTTTTCTCTCTTGCACTTTTCACTTGGATTTCCTGTTGGAAATAGAACTGTTCTGCTACAGAAACTTATGTGGAGCAAGGGATGCCTCATAGCCACCACTAGTTTAACTATTCCACTTACCTGGCAATGTTGCTGCAAGACTCTTTAAAGAGGGTAGTTTTTGATCTTTCAGGAAAATGGGTGACTTGACTTGGACAACATTTTCTTTTGCACTGGGAAATTAGCATTTCCGACACCTGCTCAAAAAAGTAACTTAAAAACATCTTTTGCAAGTATTAAATAGTTATAATTTATCTATACAATCTTTGTAATAAGTGTACACTAATCTTGCATATTGGATGCTTAACTGGACTACATAGTTCTTATTTTTTGTTAAAAACATATACTCAGTGGACCAATACAATATTACATGTATATATTATATATATTCATGCTTTCCTGTATGGAATTTAAAGTTTTGAGTCATTTGATGTTACATTTCATGTTACTGACTCTGACTACAGTATCTTTACCCAATGACTACCAATAAACCACTGCTGTGAGCTAAATGGCATTACTTATGGAGTTTTAACTGTTTTTTAAAAACTTATTCAGGTGGGGTTAGCCTCTATTTATAGACTTCCCTTTTGTTTAAAAATTCTAACAATAGCCTGTAATTATGAAGAAATAAACTTTAAGTACATAAGTAAACGGTCTGTGTGTCTGTTTGCTTCAAATGGCAATATGAATAGTAGAGTGTCTTGTAATCAGAATGCAAGCTGTGTGTACCCAAAGGCAAGGAAAGCTGGAGCCTGTTAGCCAAAGTATTCAAACCGGGGCATCTTAAATTTGGTCTCTGCATGTCTAAGTAGAAAGAACTAAACTCCCCCTCCCTCTTTCCCAGTCCTCAGCACCCAAAAGTTGTTAAGCACTTGAAGCCTCTTGACATGAGTGGTGAACGGGAGCAATAAGCACTCCAAAGTTTAGACCGCCTGTCTATTTTTTTTTGGTGTTTATCAGTCCCATTCACCAGTGAGCCTCTGTAGGACTGAGTAGCAGCTTTGAAAAAATGTTATGTCTACGTGAACATTTTCACTACTCTCTGATCTCAGAGCTTGTCTATTTTTTTGTTTTGTTCTTTTTAAAGGCGGGAATGATTTAAGAGCACAGGTCTAGCTAGGCACGGTGAATTACAAGTGGCTTGATGGATAGCTTTGTTAGATCAAACCGTAAATCAGTAGTTGATGGAACACTGCAGTAAACGTAAGTACTAAGTATTTCATTATGCAAGTAGAAAAATATTTGTAAGTAAGGTCATATGGCTCTGTTAAAGATGTAGTATTGACGTGACATCCTTTTCCATTTGGCCTAAATGTTTTCCAGGAAATTTTTCATCTTACAAATTATGATAAATTTGAGAGAGAGAAATTAGCATAACCTGAAATTTGCAGCTAAAGTAGGGGTCGAAAATGTTTCTGGGCAGAGTGCCAAAAACATCCACAGCCTCAACTTGTAAGGGTGGATGATGGGGGAGCTGCAAGGGGCATGACCATCGTTGTGGCAGTGCACCTCTTCCCCAAGACATGAGTGCCGAGTAAAATGCTTTCATGTACCACACTGGCATGTGTGCCAGGGGGTTGCCTACCACTGAGCTAAAGGGTTTCTTACTAATGTCTAAGAATATTGATTAAAAATTTCAACCACTGGTGAAATGCTTAACTGATGGGATTAAAGCTTCATAATGAAGGTATGCGTCAATGAGACTTGGTTCATACATCAAAAATGAGAAATATTTTTAGGCAATAATCTGTTATGTGTTATGGAGAACGAAGAATGCACAAGGAAAATGTGAGGTGAGTGATTGTGTGTTAGTTCTGTCGGTTCTACTTGCTAAAGTAGGAAAATTAGATTTGACCCATTCAGTCTATACAGTCCACATTGCCAAACTGCGTCCTCAACTAGTGCTAACTGGCAACCTTACTGGTACTTCCAACTGCAAAATAGGTACTGGTGGGAGAAATGTTTTACACAATGACTACTTGCAGACGTTAATAAAAAACAAACAAACCCTGCGCTTTACTAGAAGAAGCTGCATGTTATTTTGACCCAGCTCTGCAGCATCTGTATAGATTGGGTGCTTCAGTGAGGATTTTTGGAGCTTTTATCTAATAGCTGATTCAATATAGACATTGAGTGAGCTGGGTCCAACTAATGTGCTGCCCTTCTGGGCGTGTGCTGGGCTCAGCATGGGAGCGCACTGAGTTTAAAGTAAAGTGTCACTTGTTTTGGTGGGTTTTTTTTCAAGCAACCAATGTGACATGACCTCCATTTTTGCTAGAGGGTATTATAAATCTTTGTATAAAACAGTATGAAAATGCGCTAGTTGTTTTCCCCTGGATACTCGCATTTGATTCTATCCTATTTATCAACTGTTTTTCCCTCTATCTCTAATATAGATCAGAACATTTATTATAATGAGTAGTTGTTGCTTGAGAAGCCTGGGTGTATCCTAATCAGGAGTCAGATGGCTTCCTCCAAAGGTTCTTTCCAGTTCTGTTCATCCATTTCTTTTGGTGGGGGCTGTTTCTGGCTCTGACCTGTGGCCAAGCCTCGCTGAAATATGCAGAATTGTAAATGCACTTCTGTATTTGACTAAGAGATTTTATTTTTTCTTCTGCAGCAGGTGGTTTTTCAATGACTCACAAGTCTGTTAAGAGCATATATTACTCCTTGGGTCAGCATCACTGAATATCTTTTGGTTGCTAGCAAAACTTTCTGAAAATAAAAAATGCGGTTGGCATCCCTGAACTCCTATGGACATTTATAAAATAATATATAGAAAGTGTTTCTTGGAATTAGATCTAAAAAGAGGATCTTGCTTTTATCTTCAAGAACAAAACTTGCAATTAGTACTCTCATGGAAGAAAGCTAAAGTACCAGAGAATGAGTCAGGCTCCCTTAGTATTCCTGTGAAACAACTTACAAAAATGCATCGTTTTGACACCACCATTTTCTTTCTTATACTTGGGATCAAAAACCAGATTCAGAACTGAGTGCCCTCTGAGATTTAACAGGCGATGTAGCAACAGGGTCTGCTGGAAACAAGTATGCCAAGATGTGTGTAGCTCCTAAAGTGAATGCTTGGACACCTTCCTGGACGGAGGAAATGTATTATGTTTATGAGAGCAATACTTCTAATGATTTAGCAGATAAGCAGATGGTCAGTCATGTGGGTGAATTAAGATGTTCAAGTGGAGAAAGGGAAAAGAGGAAGAACACTTCCCACCTAATCTTTAAGAGTCTGCCAAACTGTGACTATCAAAGTATTACATGTGCCTTGCAGAGCCTTTGCTTAATGTTTTTAACTTGATATGGGTTGATGCTTAGTTCTTAGCTATTTTTTTTTAACTGTACTGCAAAGCAAAAATGAAAATCAGATGGATTCTAATGCGACAGCTCAACTAACTCATGCCCCTCCATCCACCTGTGGAAAGAAACTCTCAGCACGCTAATCAGGAACACGGGTCTCCACAGTTGCCAGCTTTTAGGCTGTCCATTCAGAGGCGTAAGAAGTTCCACAGCTTCAAATGTGCTCCAAATATTTTCAGTGCCACAGATGGTTAGGATTTTTTTAAACCAGAGATCTAGAACTGAGGCTGCATCAATTGGTTGGGAGCATAAAAAAAAGTGTGATTGTTAGTACTAGCAGCCCTAATGATCAAAGGGTAGTGGAGATTCTCTGTCACGCTTTTCTAACTTCACATAGGTCCTGTGGACTTTGGCCCCTGGCACCACAGTCCTTGGCTGCAGGCTCTGTTCCTTTATTTTTTCCCTGCACTGCTGAGCTTTACCCTGTATCATTTCATTTTTGCCATCTGGTTAGCAGGCAGTAATGCTATGTAGTGATGTTTTTCAGACTTGGGCAGTCCAAATTATTATTTTTTGAATGAGGACATGGATCCATCAACCTATGGCAAGTTAGGTTGTCCCAATTTTTTTTTTTTTTAAAGAATCTGTGAACATGTGATTCTGTAATGGCTTAGTCTGTCCTAACAGTGGCAAAAACTTACTCCTGAATAAACTGAGTAAATTGAATACATTTTCTAATGCCTATGTTTCAGTGTTGAGCCTGTGTGTTTCCAGGCTTTAAAATGCCCAACCAGCTTATTTATGTGCAGCTCCAACCCTGCAGTTTGCTTCAGGTTTTTGCTTTGAGCCTCCCCT